CTTTTCAATAAGGAACTGACATTTTTCTATAGGCTGGCCTGTGGTTTCTTTGGCATAAAGAGCCCCTGTTAGAGAGAGGAAACTGCCAATGCAGGAGAGCCATACCTGCTCTGTGATTTATAGGCTTGGGGAGTTTGGGTGAGGTACTTAGAAGGCTGGTGACTGGCCCAGGGTCACGTAGCCAGGAGGCGTCAGAGGCAAGCTTTGTACTCTGAGCCCAGCTCTCTGCCTGCCTCTTAACACGATGAAGGAAGATTGTTAATACGTTGATGTGCCTGGAGGTGTGAGCATTGCCAGTCAGAGATTGGAATAAATCAACTCTTTGCTCTATGAGAATCCTTCTCCTGCCATCCAGCATTGTTCACTCTTTGCTTGAAGGTTTTCTCCACAGGGAGCCTGGCCAGGAAGAGTCAGGGAATGGACTACTTCTAGAAGCAGTTCATTCCATTTTGAGAGAAGTTTATTAGAACTTTTTTTTTTATACTTACCTCAAGCCTAAATTTGCTGCTTATCAATAACTGGCCTTTATATAGCGCTTCAAAGTCTGCAAAGCACTTTACACACATTATTTTATTTGACAACAATCCTGTGAGTTTAGGTGCTATAGGCAGAATTATCTTCATCTTACAGCTAAGGAAACTGCTATTATATATCAGAGAAGGGATTCAAACCCAGGTCCCCTTGTCTCCAAATCCAGCATGTTCTCTACTGCCTGTGACTCACAACTTTCTCCCATTGCTTTTCGCTCTGTCCTCAAGGGTTGATTAGAACAGGTCTAACTCTTCTTCCACAATACTTGAATACTTTAAGATGGTAACCATATCTAGAGGCAGCTAGATGGCACAGTGGATAAAGTACCAGCCCTGAAGTCAGAAAGACCTGAGTTAAAATTTGGCCTCAAATACTTACTAGCTGTGTGACCCTGGGTAAGTCACTTAACCCAAATTACCTCAAAAAGGGGAGCAGTTACTATAACAACTATATATATATATAATATGTATATATAGTAGCTATATAGTATATAGTAACTATATATAGTTATATGGTATGTAGTAACTATATATAGTTATATGGTATGTAGTAACTATATATAGTAATATAGTATGTAGTAACTATATCTATATATGGGTGAGAGAGAGAGAGAGAGAGAGAGAGAGAGAGAGAGAGAGAATCTTTTGTGGCCTAAGCTTACCCAGGTTTTTTAAATGATCCTGTGCTGTTTAGGTAGGGTGATGATGGATTCTAGTGGGTGAAGCTGTAAAGACACTGGGAGCTGTGGTTTCATAAGATTTTAAGAGAAGAGGGGAAAAGAGAGAGAGAGAAAGAAACTGGGAAAACCAAAGATGTATTCATTAAAATGGTAAACTCAGCTAAAAAGCAGAGTACTGTGCCAACCACAGAGAAAAATATAGTCTGGGAATTTCTTTGAACAGAATCAGAATTCAGTTGTCTCTAATGAGATTATTTTCTACCTGAAGTGGAGGTAAACCTATAGCCCACATTGTTTGGTTTTTTCTTTTGTTTTATTGTTTTAATAGTCTCTTGCCAGATACTTAGAGAAGCTGAGCTAGAGAGCTCAGCTTGAGTCAGCAAGGTCTGAGAGAAAGACAAGAAAAGACAATGGGCCAATGACAGAGTCTTCTGGAGGAATGCAGACACCCGGGTAGAGCAAAGAGGGTTTAGAAGAAGCAGGTTAATTCTTTAAGCCTTTGCCAAGCTGATTGAGTAACATGAGACTGTGCCTGTTACCTGATTTGTTTATATTTTATGTTCTGGGTTCCCTTGCACTTTAGTAACAATGGTTTGTGCAGCTGAGTGACTGTAATAGCTCACATTTCTAGAGCACTGCACGTTTTATAAACATGTTCTTCACACCCATCCCGTGAGGCAGGTAGTGAAATAATGTTATCTCCACTTTACACATCATGGGGAACCTGAGGCTCAGGGGGATGAACTGGCTTTTACACACACACACACACACACACACACACACACACATATACACACAGATACACACATACATACACGTACATACACACACACACACACACACACACACACACACCCTAGTCAGTGTTGTTGCTGAAATTCAGTTTGATTCAGCAAATAGTTGTTCAGCCCTTACCATGTGCCAGATACTGTGCTAGGTGGTAAGGATACAAAAATAAAAACAGTCTCTGTCCTTGAGAAGTGTTTGGGGGAAATGCTGGAATTGATAAGCATTTGTTTTCAGTTGTTTCAGTTGTGTCCAACTCTTTGTGACCTCATTTGGGGTTTTCTTGGTAAAAATACTGGAGTAGTTTGCCATTTCCTTTTCCAGCTCATTTTACAGATAAGGAAACTGCGGCAGACAGAGGTTAAATGACTTGCCTAGGGTCGCACAGCTAGTGAGTGTCTGAGGCCAGATTTGAACTTAGTTCTTCCTGACTCTAGGCCCAGTGCTCTATCCACTGTGCTACATTTACAAATAAATATAACATATGGTAAATTTGGGGAGGGAGAGCACACCAGCAACTTGAAGTTATTGGAGTGGACTTTGAGGAAGGATCACCTGAGCTGAGCCCTGAAGGAAGAAGATGACCTTGAAAGGTGGAGATGAGGGGGAATGAGGAAATGACCTGCACAAATGTGCAGAAACAAAGGATGGAATGTTGAGTGGGAACACCTGGAAAGATGTCTGATAGGCCATTTATGTTACTGAACTACAGCGGAGGAGAAAGGCTGGGGCTAGAGCTCTAGGGCTGAACATATATAGGCATATATTTTTACATGTATATATATAACTGAATATATACACATATATTCATATAAATATGTGTGTATAATACAGTTATATGTATTTATGTAAATATATGTATATATTCAATCCTATGTGGAATACATATACATAAAATATATACATACATACATATGTGTGTGTGTGTGTGTGTGTGTGTGTGTGTGTGTGTGTGTGTAGATAGACAGATAAAGGCAGCAAGGCGGTACAGTGCCAGACCTGGAATCAGGAAGACTTATTTTCCTGAGTTCAAATTTGGCCTCAAACGCTTACTAGCTATGTGACCCTGGGCAAGTCACTTAACCCTGTTTGCCTCAGTATCATCTGTAAAAATGAGCTGGAGAAGGAAATGGCAAACTACTCCAGTATCCAATTGCCAAGAAAACCCCAAATGCGGTCATGAAAAGTCAAACATAGCTGAAAAACAACTCAACAACAACAACAACAACAAAAAGATAGACAGATAGATGGGTAAAATAGATGGATGGATGATGGATGGATGGATAGATGGATGGATACAGAGATACATGGATGGATGAATAGATAGATTGGTGAATGAATGGAAAGCTTGATAGATACCTGGATGGATGACTAGATAGAGTGATAGATAGATAGATAGCTATGTGGATGGATTGATGTGTAGATGATACATACATACATGGATGTATGAATAGATAGATATGTAGATGGATGAATAGATTGATGGATGGTTGGATAATTACATACACAGATAAATCAGTAGATAGATAGATAGATAGATAGATAGATAGATAGATAGATAGATAGATAGATAGATAGATGAACCCCAGTCTTCTGGCTCCAAAACACAGTGCGTTTTTCACTATATTACTCTACCATTCTTAAACTAACTAGTGAACTAACTGAATATGGTGTCAATGGACCAAGTTGAAAAGATAGACCACTGAAAAAGACACGTGGCCAAAATGTGAATGCTCAAATTGTAGCTCTTGAAGCAGGACCGTCTGTTAATCTCTTGCTTAGTAATAGTGGAAAATTACCTTGCAGAATGACAGTAGAAACAGGTGATGAGTACCTTCTGTTTGGGGCCTGCTCCAAACACCAGTTTCATCACATGTTCAGTGCTATAAAATAAAGCAACTCCACTCAGAAAATCCTTGTAGAAAGGATTAAAACCCTTGTAGGAGAAGACTGAGTGTCATATAACTAGCATTACCTTGGGAATAAGGTGGCTTTCCCAAACTGCTTATATGCTTGTCAATTACTAATGAGATGAGCCGATATAGAGGGTTGTTCAGATAGCTAGAAAAATGACTCATAGTTGATATCTTACAAAGAAAACATGCCTAGGTAGAGGTTGGCTCACAGTCAAATGAATTTGTCTAGCCAAATTGCATATTTCTTTAAATTTCATTCATAAACCTGGTTGCTTGGCTGGCTTATGTGATGGAACTGTACAGTACAGGTACAATTCTTCAAATAGGATCTTCAATAAAACTGGTACTAGAAAAAAGAGGAGCTAGGAAAGAGAACAGGACTCCCAGAGCCAAATCTATCAACCACTCAACCAGCAACCAATCTGTAACAAATTCTTACTTTTACTTTTGTTTAACAAAGACATTATTTCATAATGAATTATTTCTTAATGAAATACAGGAATGAATAGTGTGATAGAGTACTGCTCTTGGAACCAAATTCCACTTCAGACATTAACTGTGTGACTCTGAGCAAGTCCCTTTACCCCTTGTAGATTTAGTTGCCTCCTCTGTGATATGAAGGGGTTGTTCTAAATGGCTCCTAACATCCCATCTTAGTTCTAAATCTGTGATCCTGTGAACCTGTGAAATGTCCCCACTCCAAGGACCCTTCCTCTCCCCGGTGCCTGGTCCCTAGACTTTTCACTACAGGGCTGTCACAAGGCAGAGTGGTCCATCTGCCAAAAGCAAAGAATTGGAGTATTTTTTTTCAGTCCTCTGAACAGTTTGACTTTGGACCACTGTTGCCTTTCACTCAGGAGCCTGATCACTGGAAATGTCTTTAGGATCTAGTAGCTAGCTGTGAGAACACCCACACGTCTGAAATGGGATCTGAATTATCTTGCTACTTCATCCGAGAGATTATCTTGAGGAATCCACAGTTCTTTATGTGACTAATTCTCCCTGGACTGACCACTACTGGATTTGCTCCAGGGACGCTTGTCTGTGGTGCTTTCCCATGTGGCTTGTCACTTGCTTTGTTTTCCTAGGAGAGCTCCGTATTGGATTGCTGGATTTCCTCTTGTTTGGCAGTTTGATAGCTGCAGTGGACCCTGTGGCTGTCCTGGCTGTTTTTGAAGAAGTCCATGTCAATGAAGTCCTGTTTATCATCGTTTTTGGGGAGTCACTGCTGAATGATGCTGTCACCGTGGTAAGCAAGTGGTGGTGAGGGTTTGGTTTTTGGTAGTTTCCTCCTTAAGCTTTGTTGCAGCTTTTTTTTTTTTCAAATAGTTGGGAACTCTAGGCAAAAACAATTCGGTAGCCGCCAAACAGTTGACAAGTTCTGCCAGTGCCTAGGAAGTACCCACTCCTTCGTTCTGTTTCCTTTCCCACTCTATGGGCCATGGCAAGACCCTGCCACCAACACCAGGATTAACTGGGTCTGATTCTCCCAAGTGGAAAACTTGACTGAAACCTAAATCTTCTCTATCTGCAGTATTCTCTTTACTTACGAAATTCGTAACCTCATCAAGGAATGTTTCTGGCCTGTCTTGTTGTTAAATCTGATAGCGCTCCAGACCCGTTGCATTTTACTGACTCCTCTACTTGCTATGTAATTTAATACTTTTGCCCACATTAAATGTCCATTTAAGCAGCTGTTAGTCTTCCTGCTGCTTTCTGTCTTAACTAGTAAGCTAAGGAACCCTTTGGGGGCAGGGAAGGGAATGAGAAAAAGAGGAGAAGCAGCACGTGTGATTTCATCAGTGCAAAGAGCTCCCAGCAGATTAAACTCCTGCTACCAAAGCAAATCAGCACCTGATCTAAGCTAAGTGAATTGTCCAGGGTCACACAGCCTGTTATGTGTCAGGCTGGACTAGAATCCAAGTTTTTCTGATTCCAAGTTTGGCTGGCTCTTGATCCACTACACCTTACTGTCTCTCTGACCAGTCTTTTTTTTTCTTTAATTGTTATTCAGTTGTGTCCAACTCTTCATAGCCCCTTTTGGGCTTTTCTTGGCAAAGATATTGGAGTAGCTGGCCATTTCCTTCTCTAGCCCATTTTACAAATGAGGAAACTGAGGCAAGTAGGGTTAAGTGACTCACCCAGGGTCACACAGCTAGTGTCTGAGGCCAGATTTGAACTCAGGTCTTCCTGACTTCAGGCCCTGTGTTCTATCCACTGCACCACCTAGATGCCCCACTAACCAGTTTTACCCTCTCCTAATTCAAAATTGCAAACATTTTTAAATGATGTTTCTTCTAGTAGTTATTTTCAAACTCACAGTTGTACATAGTCCTCACCTCCATATTTCTATAAAACTAAAATTTTAAATACTTAATCACTATTACTGAGAGCAGTTGTTCTCAAATTTTTTTGGTCCACAGCCCAATCAGTGGAGTAAAAGACCCCACAGATTGTCTACCCCATCTACTCCTGCTTATCACTGCATGAAAGTCCCATTGGATTTGAGGAAGGAGGAGTAATGATATTTCTCCCAAGGAGAATTTCACCAAATTTCACCAAAGGAATTATTTCTGGATTTTAATTAATATAATAAGTAAATGACAGATTTCTGCTCAAAATAAAAAAAGAGATTGTTATGGCATAAACATCAAAAGTACAATAGTCCATCTCACAGGATAACTGGAAGACTTTTGAAGGTGATCAAGGGTCTCCAGACAACTTTAGAAATATACTTTGTGAACCTAGAGAACTTTGAGGGCAGGATGGATATAAAGTATTATGATAATACAAGATGATTTATTAACCTTTTTTAACCAAGAACACATTTGTTTCCCTGCCGTGGGAAACAAGATCTCTCTTCAGAGCTTTCCAGGATTCTCTCCTTGGTCAAGCTTATGTACCAGGAAAGAAGAAAAGGAATTGGCCGACTTTCCCAACTCTTAGAATAACTTGTTGATAAATCTTTTAACAGTGAATTAGCAGATTTAGACTCAAAGGACCTGGGTTCAAATCTCAGCTTTGCTACTTACAACTTGTTATGTGGTCTTGGGCAAATAATTAATTTAGCCTCAGTTTCTTCATCTGTAAAATGAAGGGCTTAGATTTAGGGGTGAGGAACCTGTGGCCTTGAGGACACACATGGTCCTCTAGGTCCTCAAGTACGGCCCTTTGACTGAATCCAAACTTCACAGATCAAATCCTCTTAATAAAAGGATTTGTTCTGTAAAATCTGGACTCAGTCAAAAGGATGCACCCAAGGACCTGGAAGGCCACATGTGGCCTCGAGGCCGCAGGTTCCCCACCTGTGGCTTGATCCTAAACAATGGTCCTTTCTAGTCTTAAATCATTTGAAACTATATGATTGTGACAGAGTGCTGAAAAAATCATGGTACAGAACTGCTAGCCTATTGTACCCATGCCTTCACCTTGTAGAGAGTGATCTTGGGAAAGTCACTCTCTGGTCTTCATTATCCTCATTTGTAAAATGAGGTGGTTAAATGAGAGAAACAGACAGGCAGAGACAAAGAGGCAAAGAGAGAGAGAGAAGAGATATGGGAGAGAGAGAGAGAGAAAGAAGTGAAGGAGAATGGAAAGGAGGAGGAGAGAGAGAGAAAGAGAGAGAGAGAGAGAGAGAGAGAGAGAGAGAGAGGGAGAGAACTGATTTTTTTCCTCCAGAGTATAGACCCAGTGTTCTCCTTAGTCAATCATTCCCACTTTTTAGAGTGTTCTATTATTAGATCTGATAACTTTTCAGACACTCTGCATTATACTGTTTACTGATTTACTGAAAAAGGGTAATAAATCCTTGGGGATTAACACAGCAATTTTTTTTCTCCCAAAGTTCTCAATTGCTTATTTGATTGTGCAATGTGTCCTCTCTCTTCTAAAGTACTACACACAAAATCTTGACTCACCTTTTCTGAGAATTTCATAACTTTTGACATAATTGGAGACACCTCCAAGGTGTTAAAAAATTAATGTTGGGAATTAGTGACCTACAAACAGGAATACTACAGTTGTGTCAGCATCAAGTAGAAGTGCTGGCTGCTTCTACTCCATCACCTCTTACATGCATTCACACATAAACATACACACATTCTCTCTCTCTCTCTCTCTCTCTCTCTCTCTCTCTCTCTCTCTCTCT